CTGCCATTGTGAACTCGATCACCTTTAACTCTCGAAAACACGCCTCGCGAAAGCCCATTCGCACCCTTGAATTCGCCGATTTGACAGATCCGACGGATCACAGGAGGACCAAGGAAGAGGAAAGGAATGAGAAGGTGGAAAGTTGGCGAAGGGGAATCCTTGTCGAAGGCTCGCTCATCGCCGGCCTTCCACTTCTTCTCTTCTCTTCATTATTATCATCATCATCCACTCCTCGTCCTCGACGTCTCACCCCGACGACTCTTCCGCCGCCGTGCGCGATGGGGACTTACGAAATCGACTAGTCGCGCGCGTTCGTTCGATTCGTGCCGCTCGCTCGCTCGCTCGCTCGCGCGGAGAGCATCGGCGTTTTCCGCGACGCGCAAAGGTCACCGCAGGCGAGCGCGAGCTCGCTCGGGAAAGAAGACGCGAGTCACCGGCGCGTACTCTCTTACGAGGGGAGGTCAGCTGAGGTAACCGGTAACCCGGCAGATTCTTCCCTCTCGCCTCTCACCTTCGCTTCGTTTAATGTTGCAAACCGATGCTCACTTGTCTTCGCTAATACTTGGCATCGCGCAGCACTAAGATAATAACGGCGTCTAGAGAGCCTAATGAAAGTCTGGAAATCAGGACCAATGCTACTCTGATAAGGATGAATGGTGTACCAAATAAGGGTATTATTACTACAAAATGTTACTCAAATTCGTTCTCGAAAAAATTTTGAATTTATCTTTCTACCTTTTTGCATGTTAATTTTATAATATGTTTAATATATTATTTAACTATTTAGCCTTTAATATAATTCTTTGAAAATTTATAGTCCATTTGTCCTTTTTTTATAATTCAAACATTTTTTATTGACTGAGATATTTCGAATTTTCAGCACAAACCAAGAGGTTGAATTTAAATATCCGAATTGACGAGGATATGCAATTATTAGAACAGGGTTGTTTCCAGGCTGCGGAATTATCGATAATCGAACGGATGCAAGGAGATCCGCTTACTAATGTCTGTATTCGCGGCAACTCATCGCAAAGAGTTTGGATTAGTGTTCTCTCGCTGCTTGATAGTTACTTCGATTACATCGCCGTAAGGCAAATAAATTACATTCTCGTAAACCGACGCGAGGTTGTAATTTCATTCTCCACGTCGAAGGGGATTCAGTAAAAGCTGCATGTTACGTTAATTCCATATATATCTTCCACAAAATATCAAAGTAATCACAGTTCTTATAGCTCTTTCTATATTTCTATGTGTGGTCTCTTTTAATGTAGAAAGATATTTTGATCTAACTGTGTGTTTTCTCAAAGTGCATACAACAGATTTAATTCACCTTCACTGTGTGGTTGTAAGTACAACTGGCACAGTTCTATGTTGATTATACGAGAGTACGATAAATAAGATACGTGTAAAAATGACACAAAACATTAAAAATATATTTTTTAATATTTATTTTTAATAATCAAGACATCCTAACGTTTCACGAGTTTAAAGATTTCTTTATGTAAGTTTCTGTGTTCCGTTTCCAATAAGAAATTATTAATGAAAAAATATATAACCCTCTCTTGTATTAATTATGTGTGTCTCCACCTAAATTATACCCACTGACATAAAAAAAATTGCATTTTTAAGAAATAACCTAAAAACACCTGAATTTATGGATATACATGCCAATTAACAAGCCGTAATGTGTCAAGGGATATCAATCTTTCTTATTAAGTTGCTTCGCTAAATGAAGGATGTAACTCGATTGATGAGATGCAACCAAGACAAATTTCCTCGGGCCCCAGCGAGCGAGGTCTCACCGAAAGGTTAACGAAGACCGATAGAGCCACGAAACGTTCGACAATCCGCGAACCAAGCATCCTCCTGTAGGCAACATCCCGAAGCGTTGTTCGTGATCGCGCTCACCCGCTCCGCGCCGCTCCGGGATCGGCGAAAAAAAAGAGTATCGGGCCAGCGGTGCGATATCGCGATGCAATCATCTCGTCGGATGAATCTGCATTATTTAAGCGAACGGGCGTTGAGAAGGCGCGCACGCGAGCGGAGCTCGTAGAAACGCGAACGCGTGTACAGATACAAGCGGGACCCGGGGTCGGGCTCCGTCATCGCGGACCTCGCGCCTTGTTGTCCGGGGTTACATCCTGGGGCCGCGCGCACTTTGCAACCCCCCGCTGATCCCGAGAGCGCCTTTTTCGATACTGATTATTGGCGCCGATTGCGCGTCCCCGATACGGCACGGCGCGTCTAGGATAGGCTTCGCGTACGCCTTGTACGTACGAGCCCCGTTCGCGTGGGAACACGCCTTCCTTCTCCGCAGCGTTCGACAGGTTGGACACGCTTTTCTACGCGAGCATTCCCACACGTCGGAATTAACGCGCGAAAATTAGCTTGGATGATTCGATCGGCACACACACCGGCCGATCGTGTTCTAACGACTTCCTGAAGAACGTTCGAATGCGAAAAAGACGGGTAGCTTCAAAAGAATCTTACGTGCAATATCGAAGCAGTAGCAATTATAGAGAATTGCTCATATATTCAAAGCTTGATGTTTCGATAAAAGTTGTACTTTAATTATTGATTATAATAAAAATTCCAAAAAACCGATAAAAGACATAGAAATTGCCTCATTGGATTTGAATTGCTTTATAATTTTATAATAAAATCAATAAAAGGTTCATCAATAAAAAATTCATGATTAACTATAAATACTTTAAGGTGGCAATATAGTTTAACGTGATATTTTGATTCGATAGCTTTCTCGAAGGAATTATAATAAATAAAGTACAACGTCGAGGTAAAATCAATAATCGTCAACTAATCTAGTAAATATGACATTTTCTGCATATATCAAAGAAAAAAGAATAAAAAAGATTCTTGTACCTATAATAATTTTCATTATTATATGTATATCGCGATAATTATTACTCTTACTGTGTTTACACAATCAAGCATCAATTTTATAATAATATAATTATTCCACGTGTTATTATATGTTGCATAATATCTGCACATGTATATTTTTTTATATTCAATGTATTAAATAGTTCATTACAGAAATCCCTCCCCCCCCATTTCTCTCTTTTCTCTTTCTCTCTTGTATGTATAAACGCACAGCGTATTATTTATTAAATATTTATAAATATACATAAAGAATATTTTCTAAAGAGAGATTTCTTTATTTCGTTGCTATTTTCAAGAAATTTGATGAAAAATATTTCCCGATAAAAATATATTTTAATCTATAAAAAAAAAAGGCAACACTACAAAGGCTTTCACCTCCGTGACTCCAAAGAGCAGACAGCATGATATGCATTCTATCTCGCATAATAGAAGCAATCCAACGAGCACCGAGACGAGAGTGTTTCGACTTCTCTCGTTAGCATGCATATTCCTCGCGAAATATCCGCGATCTCCGCGCGCCGGTCGGATCGAATAATGCATCCGCGTAGATCGAAACAATCGTTCGCGAGCAGAAATGAACGCGGTAGAGAGATCTCCCTGGCAATTCTCACGTTTCTCGACGCTTCTCGAAGCCGAGATCACAGGTGTGAGAATCTGGCAAAGAAGCCGCTATATAAAGGCTGCTAAAAAGCTACATATTTTATTTACGAACTATTTTATTCATAAACTCTATCTGACAAATTTTGTCATACCTTTTTATATCTTTTTTTTCAATGTCAAATCTTTCTAATTAGATGTTATAAATGTTAAATCTTGTTCAAAATTTTATCTAAATTTGATTTTAAACCTTTAAAAGGAAACTCTCTGCAGATCTCTTTGTCTATAAAAATAATAAAAGTTATCGAGGCTACGAAAAATAAAAAAGCTTTAAGTATACCAAAAATATACCAATGTATTCCCCATCAACGATGTTACATTTTCATAATTATTATCATCTTTGGCTTGCGAATTGACTTGGGAATAAAACCGTCATCTAAATGGATTATAAAAGATATCTCAACTATCCTGTCAATATACGTAACTTTTCAGCACCTTGAGGGAAGTACAGGTGAGACGCGGATTAGCGACGTGCGCGCGAAACACGCGACTAGCGATACTGGTGCAACAACTTTCTAGAGTAGTAGTAGCGTCCGAAAAAAATAAAGAGTAAAAGCCCCGAGCGCCGATACCGACGAAAGACCGCGAGCTACCTGCCCGCCGCGAGTCTCTTCGAGAATACCCGCGGGATTGTGTAACATCGCATGCGATCAGCGGCACCCGTGCGCAACAATGCCAGTCGGACGGGCCCAACCCGAAATCGATTTCATAGAGAATTACCGCTCAGCATCGAAGCATACCTCCCGCCTGCATACCTGTTCGCGCGGCAATTTTTTCTGAGCAGCAATTCGATTTGCGAGTAGCGAGCAAGTTGCCGCGTGAACGCTATTTTTCGATCGGTCGCGCGCTTTCACGCGCGAACTGCGCTGAGAAATTGAATGTATTCTAATTTGCGAAATTGTTGCGACTCCCGAGATTATGTGCGCAATAAAATTTGACTAATCACACTGACTCAAGTCGACTGATTTCAGCTACGTTAATTAATTCTACTTCGACTAATTTGTTGTCTTCGTTTAGTTTCTACACACAGAAAATCCATATCAAATCAGCATAATGGTAATTGTACCTGCGTGCGTTATCAAAATTATGTACATGTTTAAATAATAAACAACTGTACTTTGTTTATTATTTATATATGTACATCATTGCGTACACAATTATAATTACAACGCTTTTTATCATCAACGTTAATAATTCTTTTAGTGGCAATTATTAAATCATTTTTATTTTTAAATAACCATAAAAAGTAAACGAGTTACTAATTTGTTCCTTCTTAACAAGATAATCGATAGTTATCTCAGATCGATCCCGAGTTCATAATAATGCAGAATGCATTTTCATTATAAGTGATCGTTAGGAGCACGTATTGATATCAGAAGGAATGGTAATAGTATGAGGATAATGGTAATCGGTAAATAGGAAAAAAAAATGTAAACACTCACTTGCTGTTATAACACACTTTATCAAAATCCAGCGAAGAGCACGCTTGAAACAGTTCCGGTCCTTTTCCTCTTTCCTTTCTCGATATCACGAAAAATCAGGCGTGAGATTCTCTGCGCGTTACGCACGTGTCCAGAAAGGCACGTCGTCGTCGTCGTCGCGAGGAACGTTAATGGCTACTTGCGCGATTCTTACTGCGGCGATCCACTTTGATAATTACAGCGATGCGAACGGTTGCGAACGGTGTGTATTTTCAGGGGATCCACATCGGGTAGGAGAGCAAGAGGATGGACGGGGCGGAGAGGAGAGGAGATCCTCTCGGAAGATCCCGTTCTGCAAATGCCAGTCCGCCCTCTCGCACGCACAGCTGATTATCGATTAATATAGTTGTTGACTCCATGCTTGCGAGAAGCTTCATTGAATTATCCTTCCGATCGGACGGACAAATCGCGTAGGTAGCTCTCTGTCTCTATCTCTGTCACTCTCGTTCATTCTCTCTCTTTTTCTCATGAGGTATGCTTATTTTACGAACACGAACACCGATGATGCTACCTTTGGCGCGCACTTCCTCTTTTATATAATAGGATTACGAGGTGAGATTGTGAAAGCTTTTAAGTCCATCATCGAGATCGCGCGGTGATTTCAAATTTACATATTAGGGACGAAAAAATGACGAAGCTCTCTCAGTTTTCCAGGAAAGACACGAATTGCGTTAGTTTCTGCAGCTGTTCCTCCGTCAGACATATCTTGTCCGGTCTGATTGTACTCAAGTTCCTCAAGTTTTTTCCATGGTAGCACTATAGCAGCGTCCAAGGTATCCTCAACGTTCCAACCCTTATCAATGGCAGCCTGTCGCGCATCAGCTAATGACATTCCAGTCATTGTCGCCATAGCTGACAAATTCAGCGAGGAATACGCCTTCGATATTAACCTCATAATTCGTTCTCGTATTTTATCTGCAAAAATTAGAGATTTTTGTTAGCGCAGTCTCCTTGATTCATAAAAAGCAAAAATAAACTCCAATGACAGTGTAGATTCCGCTTGAATAATCATAAGTTAATAAGTGACAATTATAGATGGTGAGTTTAATAACAATTGATTATTATTATATAATTATTATAAATTATAATAAAATTCATGTTTAGTCCTTGCTTCTACGGACATCATAAAATAACCTTTTGTGGTTAATAGAAAAACGATGACATGGTGTATTAATATATCTATCCTCTTAATATATAAATTTAATAAATAACAATTGTAAAAGTAAATAATTAAAAGTTACATACAAACATGATAAAAAAGAAATTGAATTAATTATAAAATAGTAATTGATCTCTATTTAATGATTTAACAATTTTTTAACATTCCTACAACTGATAATCCCTGGAGAGAAAGAGAAATAAGCAATTGCAAACATTATACATTTCTATATTTTTTCATTTACTACATTTCTATATTTTAGAACATTCGCCCGGCAAGCGAAAGACCCGGGTTCAATTCCCGGCTTAGCCACTCGCGCCCTGATATTTTTTCTCTCTTCCTTTCTTTCCAATAATTCCTATACGTACATTAAGTTTCTCGATATATGAGAACAATGTACTTAAAATTTCGTGCACTTTAGGTATCTCGATCTGAGATCGGTGTACAATCTAATTGTCTCATGTAGACTAATTTACTAATTTCTTTAAGAAAAATTAAAAAATTTAGCACTAACATCCTGCGACGGCTCTTAATGCCATTCCATTATATTTCTCGTTTGTCTATGTTTTTTGTTTTACAAAATTTTCTTAGTAGCAAATTAAAAATTTCAATAGTTAAAAAATTATATTTAATAATAATAATCTTGCTTACATAATTACTAGAAAAGTTATATTTTTTCTCCTTCATGATTTTTTAAATATCCCCAAATCATAAAATCATCTTCGTAATTTTAATATATTCTGTACTGCATTCAAAAATTTTATTATAAAAATTGCAATTTCCTTGCTGCGAACTATACAATAAAGACTATAGAAAATAATTTAATGACCAATTTCACCGATGTCACTGCTGTTATTGTTGAAATGATTCGCTTAATTGTAATTTTGTACAAACAATACAAAATTTTATATTATTTTATTAACTTGCCTTTAAGAGCTGCCATAATATCTCTAACATCTATGGTCCATTCTATATTGAGGGCTGCATGCATCTCGGGCCAATTACGTTGCCACATGTGTTGTCCTACTGTCCATATTCGTTTGAGCTCCTCATTCTCAGCTTTCAAATCTGCCGGAATTCGTTTCCAGAGATATTTTGCCTGGCATCTGTGATCGAATCGATGATTAAAACAAACCAGTGGGTGAGAAGAACTGACGCGCTCACAGACATTTTGAATGATATACAGTGTAGAACAAAATTCATTAACAAGTTGCTTCGATTTTGCAAAATATTTCGCAGAGTTTGTGCGTTGTTGTCATGTTCTTGAAATAGAAATTTTAAAATACGATTTAGTGCCAACAACAATAATATACGACGAAAGACGATGCGAAAAACGATTAAAATGTCGAAAAAAATAGCAATGGCAGAACTACAAACGGATAATTTAAACGAAAAAGGAAAGAACCGGCTTGAACATAGGTATCTTAAATCAATCTTATCAGGCTAGGTATGCGTTGAAAATTAAAGTTGCTGTCAGATAACTTGAGATTTTCAAGTTGATAAAAAGTAGGAATATAATGAAGAATTTTCTACTTACAGATCATTTTGATGAAGATAGACAGCCAACAATCGCGCGTAAACTTCTGCAGATACAATTCCATTCGGAGCCTGGAACAACATAATACGACAGTCGACGTAACCTATAAAAAATTTCTATTCACGCCGCTTGAAACTCACCTCCAGTTCGCTCATTTCTAATTCACTCATCATCTTATCAAGTTCCATTGTGCAACTCGGCACCATGATAACAGTTTTGTTATTATTTTGATTAAGCGGCAATATTAGTCACGAGAACACGCAACATGGAAAAACGTGAACATAACAACACAACAGTCAAGCGCAAATACAATTCCTACAATTCATATTCAGAACGGAATTAGTTAATACTAGCGCCATCGTTTGACACGTACATACAGCATATTAGACACTGTTAAATTTGCCGATTATTGATATAAATGTTTAAAAATATTTGATTTTGCTGATTATTAAACATAATCATCTTGATAGAGTAATTTAGATTGTTATCTAACTCGTAAAAATGTAATATAATTAAAAAAACATATATATAATCAGAATAGAATTTCAGAATGCAGATTTGTACTTTAATTTTGAATTTTGTTATAATTTATATAATACACTCTTACGTTTTTTATATACATATTATTTATTTAATAGTGATGTTTACAAATCCGAATGAAAATAGATTAAGTATTATCCATTATATATATATTAAATGTTTGTTAAGAATTTTTGCATCATAATAAAAATCAAAATTTACTTAACAGAAATAAATCGAAAATAAGAATTATTAATTCGATAAGGAGACAAAAATAATAGCAGACGTGCTGATGGTGTGCGCATTAACATTTAAAGGTATATCCAACCAAACTATTGTGCATATGCATAAGCATATGCATAAGAAATTGGATTGGTTCATTTCTTTATGTATCTTTTTATGGGCCAATCTCCATTTTCTTATGCTATGCTTATGCGCTATTCAAATTTATCTGGATATACCCTAAATTTTCCTCCAATTATCTATAGAGATCTCACGAGATTTACCGAAGGTTATCGATGTCGCTCGAATCATCATTGGGACAATATATAGCTGAGAATAGCATCCTGTTTCGATACATTATAGTTAGATGACAAGATAAAACAGTAATAATTTTGTTCGCACTAGCGAGGTGCGAGAATCGAAATGTAATGAATGTAAATATCCTAAAAGTGCTAAGTGTACGAATAAAATGACAATGACATGGAAGCGAGTTAAGGAGCAAATAGGAGTAGGTGAGGAGTAGTTTGTATAAGATGAATAACCTGCTACTGCGAAATTCCAACATCCTGGGAGGTGCCCCGAGTTCAGATAAAATTTCCATTACTTAGTCTGACATTTTTGAGCGCATCTCATGCCATATCTTCCACGCTTTGTCAAACTGTATACTTTATTGTGACGCATTACATTTCTTATATTTTGTATGTTAAATATTTTTGACAATTACATTAGCTATACAAGTGATATAAATGATTAATTGTTTCAATACTCTAATTAATTATTTCACTAGAATTATAATTACTCGTATATTTTTAATATTGATTTAAAGTTGAAGAAAGCTTGTTATCAAAATATTGGAAAATAACATCAATTATTTTTTTTATTGGATTTAATATTGAATTTAATCAATGAATATTTTAGACAGATATGATTAATTAATAAATTTTATATAAATAATCCGTGCTGAATATGAGATAATTTGTAAAAGTATTTTATTAATAGATCCTGTTATATCCAGTCTTGAAAAATTCAAAATTCTTAATAATTAATATAGAGGAATGATATCCTACAATAAATTTTGCTGAAATATTAGAAAGTGTATACAAAATCCTAAAAATTATTTTGAAATTAATATAAAATAAATATTGTCCCAAAATACAATTTTATTGAAATATTTTAAATTATGTAGAATTCTAAAAAACCATTAAATTGTCAAAATTAAATGTATATAATCTTTTTCTATATCTTGTTATTTTATTTAGCCATCTATAATTTTGCACATCCAACCTCGTACGCAATATGCTTGACAGTCGGAGAGGTTGTACAGATATTAGAGGAGTACGGAGATTGGTATTATGGCCGCAGCAAGTCGAAGGGTACATGTGGAATTTTTCCAAAAGCCTATATACATATCCTACAGAAATCGGCAAATACGGATAATTTAGTACATGAAATCACTAACGTTTTGAGAGAATGGGGCCATCATTGGAAGCATCTATATATGGTACGTATATATAATAATTGTTAAAGCTTTATATATGTTTGTGTGTCTCTACATAATAGAAATAATTTTATCATTCTGTTTATATGTAGACACACTCCGAGCACTTCAGGACAATGCAGCAGCAAATTTTGGATGCAATAGGATACAGAAGCAAGATTTTAAGTGGCACTCTAACAGTAGACGAATTAAAAGATATGAAAAGATTAGCAACAGCAAGAATAGACACTGGGAATCAACTGTTGGGCTTGGACATGGTAGTGCGAGACGAGCATGGAAATGTTTTACATCCAGAAGAAACAAGCACTATCCAATTATATTATCATCATGAAACTGCTGCAGAAAGAATAAGAAAGGCATCTAATGACACCAAGAAAAAACCCCATAAGCCACAAGTACCTGTATATTCACATATCTTTTTTGTCAGTGTGAGAAATTTTGTATGTAAAATGACGGAGGATGTAGAGCTGCTATTAACTTTGTACGACGGTAGAGAGATGAAAGCTATCACAGAAAATTACGTAGTATCGTGGAGTAAAGAGGGACTCGCAAGGGACATCGATCAATTGCACAACCTTAGAGTACTCTTTACGGATCTCGGTTCCAGAGATTTGACGAGGGATAAAGTTTATTTAGCCTGTTACGTGATCAGAGTTGGTGGAATGGAAGCCAAAGAACCGGATCATCGTCGTTCGAGCGTGGCACAAATTAATCAGAATAAATCCAAAGGCGTGGAGAATATGAGGAGACCGTTTGGTGTAGCTGCGATGGATATTACTTTGTTTATTACCGGCAAACTCGAGGGAGATGTTGAACAGCATCATTTTATACCTTTTATACAGTAAGCACATATTTAAAAGATTATTTAGTCAGTGTTTTAAAATTTAATAGTGTGACATTTGTAGTTGAAATATCAAAGATAGGCATTATAATGGTGCCTATAAAATTAAGGTAGAATTGTTTTGTTGGTTTTCTATCTTTGTTTCAGATGTTGTGAGAAGGATAGTCTTGATGGTATATTACGCAGGATAATCGCACAAAAAGAAGCAAATATCCAAAAACATATGAATGGCAATATTACTAATATCACTGGTGGACAAGGATTATGGACAAGCTTAAAATTGTTAAGAGGTGATCCTAAGCAGGTGAGTCTTATGATAAAGTTATTCGGTATTGTACTATAAAAAAAGTATTATTTATTTCTTAACTTTATGACATTTTTATATAGGTGCGAGATGAAAATCCACATCTTGTACTCGGTAACGTCGCTATTGCGCGTAAAATGGGATTTCCAGAAGTTATTTTGCCAGGTGATGTACGCAATGATTTGTATTTGACTTTAATTAGTGGTGAATTCAGCAAAGGCTCAAAATCTACAGACAAAAATGTGGAAGTGACGGTTAGTAAAGATTTAATTAAAAAGGAATTATTTTTTTGTTTATATAAACAATATTTAAATACTTGTAATATGCTTTTTAACAGGTTAAAGTATGCAACGAACATGGCATAGCAATTCCTGGAGTCATGACATTAGGTGGCGGTGCATCTCCAATTGACGAATATCGTAGTGTTATTTATTACCACGAAGACAAGCCTAGATGGTGCGAAACGTTCAAGATTGCCATACCTATAGAAGAATTCAAGCAGGCTCACTTAAAGTTTACATTCAAGCATCGCAGTTCTAACGAAGCGAAGGACAGATCCGAAAAACCATTTGCTTTAAGTTACGTTCGATTAATGCAACGCAATGGAACAACTCTGCAAGATATACAACATGAATTATTGGTTTATAAATTAGAGCAAAAGAAATATGATGAGAGCGATATATCTTACTTTAAATTGCCATCAACACGTGGAGAATTGGTATGTTTATTTATTCGCTATAAAAGAAATTTCATATTTTTAAATGTCGTCCATTTCACATTTCACTTATTTCAGGCTGAATTAAATCTGGAGAAAAAACCAAGTTTTGGAACACTAACATTGAGCAGTAAAGATAGCTTTTTGATAGCGACAAATATTTGCTCAACTAAATTAACTCAGAATGTAGATTTGTTAGGTTTACTTAATTGGGCATCACATAATACTGACTTAAAGGAATCTTTAGCTGCTTTAATGAAGGTTGATGGGGAAGAAATAGTAAAGTTTCTTCAGGTAAATCATTTTGCAAATTTACACATTTGATTATATAATAAAACAAGATTTATATGAAATAGTCAATTATTGAGTAACATTGTGTCTTTCAGGATGTTTTGGATGCTTTATTTAACATTTTAATGAGTAATTCGGACAGTGATGTCTACGACGACATGGTTTTTGAGTGCCTTTTATATATTATCGGACTCGTGTCCGATAGAAAGTATCAGCACTTCCAGCCAGTATTAGATTTATACATTTCTGAAAGTTTTTCTGCAACTCTCGCCTATAAGAAATTAATCACGGTATTACATAAGCGTATAAACAAGGTCGGCAACAGCGATGGTCAGGAGCGTGATTTATTACTGAAGACAATGAAAAGTCTGCAATACTGCATGAGATTCATTGTCGAATCTCGTCTTTTATTTACTGAGTAAGTTTTATTGTTTATTACGTATCATTATAAAACATACATTTCACAAATATTTAATTTGATATTGTAAAAGAAATATGTGTGACTTTGAATAAACCTTTATATTTTATTTTTAAAGATTAAATCAGGACGAAGAAGAATTCTCACAAACATTGACCGATTTGTTGCGATCTATCGTTAATTTCATGAGTTATGAGACAGATGGGACTCTGTTGGTTCAAGGAGCGTGTCTCAAATACCTACCAACGACGATACCTCATTTATTAAGGGTTTACAGTGGCAAGCAATTGAGCACGATTCTGACAGATTTACTTGTGACTCTACCAGCGGGTAGATTGACCAAGCAAAAGATGATGACGGTGAACGACATCGTTCACAGTCCGCTTTTTCTAAATGTGGAGTGCAGAGCGATCTTACTGCCTAGGATTATCATACTTGTAAGAGATTTATTGGAAGCTAAAGAAGAGGTAAGATGTCGTAAAATGTGTTTTAACGCTGCAATTCCCTAACTTGCAATTTAAGCGAAATGTGGAATGTTCACGTTACTCATCTATATCTCACCAGAAATAATGTTCATACTTATTCTCGCGACACTTTTCACTGAACCCTAACTATACACATATTTCCATACAACTAAACTTCGTCAAACGTATGTTTACCTGCATTTAATGTCGTTTTGCGCAATGTACGATAAATGTCATTATTCGTGCTTTTCGTGCAGCCTGCGATCCTCCCGCCACGCATCTTTCTATGAATCTTATCAAATTTCTCTTTCTACCGAGGATGTCTTTTTATTTTCATTTTTTAATTATATAATTTATTTAATATTTTTTATGTCTATTATAATGCAACTTTTTATTGAATTCTGTAGGTCAAATTTTTTGTTTTATGTTAAAAGGGAAATAATATTGTTATGGTACAAATCTAGAAACTTTAATAATAAAAATTTAGTCAGTTGTTTCACTCTTTGAAAATATGCAGTGTATCGCAAGACATCCTTAACTTAATCTCAGTGAGCATGTAAGAAAAGAGGTATGTCTACTGAAAATAGAACTGGAAATGTGGCATGTGTTTGTTCAATGATATGTTTTGTTTCTGCATTCGTCCTGCATTTTTCAATAGTTCTTAAATATACAATCGTCTAATCTTTTCTATTATCTTCTTATAGTAAAAACTTTCGAACAGATAGTATAACTTGTATAGTTAGTTTTTAATATAAAAATATATATCAAATTTCTAACAGAAAAATTATAATTAATACGCGAACATATCAAATTATTTTTATTTATTTTTTCTATCTACTAATATTTTTCTATATTGATATACTTAGTGAGGCATTGCATCTTTATCGCATGCAGTTTCATATTCACACTGGTGTTGGAAAATTTACGAAAATGTATACGTCCTAGAAAATTGTTTTTTTTTTCCTAACTAACAAGGGTTATTTTATTTTTTTTCTTTGTGTGCGATATGGTTTTGGTTAATGGCGTTTAAAGGGGCTATCAAGTACGCCTGGAAAGAGCGTGGCGAAGGTAGCCAGGCTGCTAGGCGAAAATCGACATCGACTCAACCAGCACCGCGGCTACTCCGAAGAGGTAATTTTTCTAACAAATGTAGGGAATTCCAAAACTTTCCACAGATGTATACATAATACATTTTTCGCGACCTCACGATACATCTTGAAACACAGAACTTCGACATACTTGCACCCGTACCTGTTGTGTTGCACTATAAACGTAAATTTTAGGATCAGTGATTTGCGTAATGTGAGCTATTTTTTGTGTGAGTGTATAGATTGCAGAGTGTTTACTGTGTATTACGCACTAATTTAGACGTATGGATTTATATATTTTTTCTAATAATCCTTATACACTTTTAGAAATATATAATTCTTGTTGTATGATTCGAGTAATCTACTTTTTAAATCCTTTGTGTTTCCATAGGTGGAACTATGTGTCAAGATATTGTCTGACATTCTAGAATTAACTTTTAGAAAAGACATAGGCAGTACAATTTCGGATGTCAAGGAGATAATGTTAACAGCCCTACGCACTATTATACAGACTGTTATATCAATGGACAGAGAAAATCCCTTAGTAGGAAACTTGGTCTCAGTCATGCTGGCGATATTCAGGTATTTTCAAGATCCCGAAAATGTAAATAACGTTGTGAAATATGAAATATTCTTTATGCTTTTTTTAAACATCTTTTTTTCCTCATTCCATCATTTTTCTCATTCCAGACAAATGACACAACACCATTACGAAGTATACATTAATCACTTCGGAACGAAGATTGATTTACTTGACTTTCTCATGGAGATACTGCTGGTCTTTAAAGATCTAGTTTCTAGAAGCGTATTTCCAGGGGATTGGTGCGAAATGATTATGCTACAGAATAGCGTTATCTTAAAGTCCTTGCGGTACTTCTCGGGCACAATTAGAGATTACTTTTTCACCGAGTTTGAGCAGCAAGCATGGTCAAATTTCTTCCACTGCGCTATCGCGTTTTTAACTCAACCTGCTCTACAATTGGAGATATTCACACCTGCGAAACGAAATCGCATTATCACGCGTTATAACGACATGCGCAGGTACATATTTTATGTAATCACACAGGGCATTCTAAAATTGTAACAGAAAATTGCAAGTTCTGGAGAAAAACTAAAAAATTAAAAAAAGGGCTTTGTTCAACGTTGAAACAGAGAATCCATAGCTAACGTTCTATATATATCAATGAGTAAGGGAAATAATATAAATTGTAACATTCTTTTTATATGTGTATTTAGAGAAACCGCGTTTGAAATCCGATCAATGTGGTTCAACTTGGGACAACACAAAATACTCTTTGTACCCGCTCTAGTTGGCGCAATTCTTGAAATGGCATTAATACCTGAAACAGAATTGAGAAAAGCTACTATACCCATCTTTTTCGATATGATGCAATGCGAATACTATAGTTCACGCATAGTGGAAGGATATGGAGACACTAAACGTGATCCTGCTCACATCAAAGCTAATTTTACAGAATATGAAAACGAAATGATAGCAAAACTGGATATCTTGGTACAGTTTTTTTCACGTTATATTAAACACCGAAACGAGAAATGGCTATAATTAAATTTTATTTTACTAATTACGTTAATTGAAGATTACATCATAAAAACATTGTTCTTCCAGGTGGAAGGAGGCAGAGGCGATGAACAATTTCGTACGCTTTGGATGCATGTTATGGGTTCTTTGTGCGAGAAACATTCTACGATGCGAGAACAAGGGTTACGCTTCGTGGACACAATCGCTAAACTCATGGAACGCTTGTTGCAATATCGCGACATTATTCACGCAGAATCCCAAGAACATCGTATGCTTTGCACCGTAAATTTATTAGAATTCTATTCCGAGATTAATAGGAAGGAAATGTATATCAGGTAAGTGCAAAGAGTTGAGTATATTTTTATAATTAAATTTAAATCTATTTGATTGTATATTTTATTTCTATATCAATGATTAATTTAATTTTTTTTTAAATATTCTGACCACAAATAATGTAATATATAAAGCTTAATATATATATTAAAATATGTATTTTTTTTTACAGATACGTGAATAAACTATGCGAATTACATTTAGAATGCGATAATTATACGGAAGCAGCTTATTCTCTGAAACTCCATAGTCAATTATTAGCATGGAGTGATCAACCTTTACCGCCTTTGTTAATATCGCACAGGTAACACTACCAATCAGAATTGCATAATTTATTGATTAAGTAAATATTATGTTGTTACATTCTCTCGCAGATATCCATTGTGCCAGACACATCGTGAACTAAAGGAAGCATTATACAATGACATCATCGATTACTTTGACAAGGGAAGAATGTGGGAATGCGCTCTTGCCGTTTGCAAGGAATTAATATCGCAATACGAAGAAGAGACATTCGATTACTTGCAATTATCTGTATTATTAAGACGCATGGCAAAGTTCTATGATTGCATAGTGAAACAGTTAAGACCTGAACCAGAATACTTCAGAGTCGCATACTATGGTAAAGGACATCCTGTTTTTCTCCAGAACAAGGTATTTATCTCAGATAACTTGCTTTCTTATGTTATTCGTTTCTGTTTTTTTTTTACCTGCAACAATGCGTTTGTGGTAGGTGTTTGTTTATCGAGGAAAGGAATACGAACGACTTAGCGATTTTTGCTCAAGAACGTTGAATCAATTACCGAACGCGGAGCAAATGAACAAATTATGTCCACCTGCGATGGAAATGCTGGAATCCAATAATCAGTATGTGCAAATTAACAAAGTGGAGCCATTGATGGATGAAAAGAGGCATCGTCTAAGTGGTAAACCAGTTACTGCAGAAGCAGTTTTGAGGTGTGTAAATACAATTATATCAAAATATATTCTACATATGAGGGATTCAAATGAAAAGTGAATCAAGTCTATTTTTGTTAATTATTAGAAAATTAGTTCTGAAATTAAAGTTGTTCTAATTGTGTGCAACATGTACACTGTTTTTTATAGGTGCTATAGTTTTCTTTTAATTTTAACTTAAACATTTGTACTCACTTTTAAATTATTTAGACTGTCCAGTTTTTTTCTAATTTATACATGGATTTAAAAAAAGACTTCGTCCACTTTTCCTCTCATATGTAGAATTTTACGAAGTTACTATCATATTTATGTGCTTTTGTTGTTTCCATGTATCTCATGTATTTCTAATGCATATTCTAGATACCATCGAGTGAATGACGTACAACGCTTCAGATTTTCAAGACCCGCGCCAAGAAAAGAAATTATTTCGATAGCTGGTGATAAAGAAAAGGAAGTAAATGTTGGCACTAACAACAGTAATGAGTTTGCTTCCTTGTGGTTGGAAAGAACAGTACTTGTTACAAGTTACCCGTTGCCAGGAATTCTTCGTTGGTTTCCTGTGACGTCTAGCGAGACATACTTAGTCAGCCCATTAAGAAATGCGATTGAAACTATGGAAGCTACGAATACAGCATTGAGGGATCTCATTGTTGCTCACAGGTTTGTGCATAATAATTCTGTACAATTTATGAGGATAAATCAGATAGTGAAGACAATGTCAATTGATTTGGGAATCGAACAAGTTTCTCTACTTTTCAATTTTTGTATAAAAGAATACTATATTTTAAATTGGTTTGTATTTTTTGTGCCTGTGCAGAAGCGATCCCAGTCTTCCGTTAAACCCTTTGAGCATGAAATTGAACGGCATATTGGATCCAGCAGTAATGGGTGGTATCGATAATTATGAAAAAGCTTTCCTCAACGCGGAGTACAGAGATAGCCATCCGGATGAGAGTTCAGACCTTCTCAAATTAGAAGGACTTATTGCGGAGCAAATTCCCCTCCTCTGTGTAGGTCTTCAGTTACACAAAACACGAGCGCCTAACGAGTTGGCACCGTTTCATCAACGTTTAGAACAATGTTTCGTGTCAATGCGTAATCAAGTAGAAGCAAAATATGGAAAAAGGGTAAGCTTCTAATTGCTCAAATCAAATTAATATTTGCACACATGTTTTTTTTAATTTATCACATTATAACAGACATGTGATTTGCAAATTGAGAGCCTAACGCAAACCGTGACCATGCGAAGACCACCAACTTCACGAGGAGATAATCACTGCCTGTCTGAGTCAAATATGAATAATTCAGAGTGAGTTTATTTAACCTTTATTGAGCATGTTTATTATTTTCTAAGCAAATTTTTATACTGTGACTAATAGCAATAATTGTCGCATGTTATTACTAAATCATGATTAAAATAAGGTAATGTGTCAAACGCGTGTTACTAATTCACATGGACCACGTTCATTCGACTAAGTATCTCATAGCATTCTACGATATTAGTGCTATAAATAATTTGGCAACTCACATTAAACTATAAAAAAATTTATGTCTTTTGTTTAAAATAAAGAAAAAACATATTCCTAAGCAATATTTGTTATAAGTAAAAATAATATGAATGAACGTGCATATATGGTATCCAAATCAGACATTGATCTGGAGGATATCCTATATAAATTATAAAATAATAATTGTATAGCTCCTTTTGTAATCATCTCGTTCAGCTATACAACTCACTTTAGGGTATCCTCACTTACAAGACCCCAAGTTGCAACGTTTAAATCACTTGCATCGTTCAATTTTAACAACAGCACATCACCGAGTGGTGCTCAAAACATCAATTTGTCAAGGTAAAGTTATATCAATGTCTAACCTAGCTTCGGTGTTGAGAATTGATTTCTCTTCATGTATGAATTGGGTTAATGCTAATAATCTGTACAAAATAACAAAAATATTATATATGTTATATGCGGCTCTTATGTAATATAAAAAGAAAAAAACGATTTTTAATATCTAATTAAATTTTACTATATCTGCATGATTTTATCACATCTTGCTAAAAAAAATCACGGCTATGTTTATAAAAGTTAAATAATACAAAACAACGTTTAGGTCACATGAAAAGACTGCAATATGATTTCAGGAATATTGCTGTTGGACCTGATAAGCTCTCGCATAATACCTTGTTATCCTTTCTTCGCACTTAGCACTCCTTAATATATATATTTTACAATATTTCTCATATTTACTTATATTTTTCATTTTTTTTTTTATTTTATACGCTTCAAAAGTATTTAAAGTGTATAAAACATCACTTTATACACCTTTGAAACATTTTATATGATATAAATAAATTCATACATGTTCTATCTGTTTGTGTGAGGATAGATAATGTATTTATATTAAAACTAACTATAAATAACCTTCAAATTTATGCAAGCATTATTTTGAAAAATAACGGATTCAAAATGCAGACTTTAATTTTACATCAGAAGCACATAATGGGACAATAAAAAATGTTTCAAGTGCCACATAGCTGTATTCCTTTATATGATAAAAATTATATTATAAATATATTAGTTTCTTTACATTCATTAGCATTTTTATATTTTCTATCTCTCTCTTTATTCCGCTTTTCATCTGCATGTGATTTTGTTATGCATTTTTCACAATATCATTAATAAATGTTCCTGGAATATATGTCTTCTTCAACTGGCAATCTGCTAAACTTCTTTAAATCTGCAATACTACTATAGGTAATTAAAAATATGCAAATATGCATTTGTTGGCTGTTGTCCATAGCATTTTGATTTCTCTTTTACGTTGATATCACGACGTAATAAATAAAATGCACATAATTTGCACCATCTGCAAATTTTATCCTCATGACAAAATTACAAGTTAATTTGAGAAATTATGAAATTACTGCTTGCCTATTTATCTATGCATTGTTTGATGGCTAGTAGTTTACTTTTATCTATTCGTCTGGCTTTCTTCTACAAACTTTTATAATCGACAGTCATCACTATTAATCGCAAATATTTTTAATTTGTAGGAACAACTCCATGCGCTCGCATATATTGTCAACGGCCTCTTTGCAAAAGGCCTTGGGAAATCCGAGTCCAGGAACGTATAAGAAGAAAGATACAAAGCGTAAAAGTTCACGAAAAAGTGATTCCACCACAGTGACGAAAACTGAACAACCGACCAGCCAATGGTACACTACAGCCGAAATATCCCACAGCTCAGCGTCGTCCATTACGTCGTTGTCTAATTTACAATCACCGCACTCTGCTGTATTTGAGCTTCGACAAGAGGTAAAGATTTTATAAACGACTCGATATCGCTTCTTGCTCGCTTGATTTAGTTTGCTCGCAAAATAAATATATGCGCCTCTTTATATACAGCTGACGCCAAAACGTCCTTTAAGATCGGAAGTGGAGAAGGAACGAAGAATGAGCAATCGTTGGTCCGGTCAATCTCAACACTACCTAAGGAGCGCAAACAACGGAGTAGAATCAAGCGGTTTGGGAAAAGGAAATAGAGACAGCGTCGGCACAACGGACAGCACTGCGTCCGAGGACGATCCACCGCCGCCTCTACCGATTAAAATGCGCGAAGCCGATTATTGTAATCTTCCGGAGGAGTTATCTACTAATCATACAATAGCGAATGCCATGAATAATCTGAGCAAGTCTTTGGGACAGTGGAAGAGCAAGTTGCCGACGCCCACTGATGACAACCTGGATAGTTTCTCTAAACCGCCGACACCGCCACCGAAACCGAAAAGACCGGTTAACTTGAAACTCATACTCACGTCTAATAGCAGTGAAAACGTCGAGGACTCGTCGAACGCATAATGTAAAATCCTGGCTTCATGTTGTCTATCTTGCCGAGAGTTGTGAACAGAATAAGTATATCACCTTTGTAAGCGTTCTCCGTTGATTTTTGTATTGTCGATCTTTAGAAGAGTTACCATTCTGTTAAAGTTAGTGTTTTATTATATTGTTTTGTGCCTTTCTTTCGCGGTTTAAGATAACCGAATAAGTATACGCCACTAAAATATAAATATACGAATATTAGTGTATTCTGTAGAACAGAAGGTATTACTTCTACAACAAGCTAAAACAAGCAACTGACAAAAGAATGCAATAGATTTAAAAAAGCGCAACATTTTATAACTTACAGTATGCATGTGACGAGAGTTATAACGATATGTATAAGTTATAATCATATCATATCATCAGAATGCATTTGCCACATTTTTAATCTTACATACAATAGTACTTTGTGTTTTCTCAGAAAGAAACTTTTCAAGTTTTGTGACACGATCAAAAATAGGGAAAAAGAATTGTCCTTATGAAAATTGTTTTTAATCTTCAAAGAGGAAATCGTGAAGATTTTGTTCAATCGCTAAACTTGCCGCAAAATATGATACTCATTTCGAGATGTTATACTGATTTCGAGATGATCTCGAGGCCTAAAAATATCTCATCAATCATTCTCTCTATAAGTACAAGTTTTTCAAATGTTTTAATATTGTACCATTTACATTTCACATGCTTGCTGTAATATTCATCACAACGCAGGATAATAACGCTATAATAACGTCCATTAGTTCTTTCGATCAAAGACCTCATTTGCGCACAAATGGTTTTGGACATATATATTTATGACAAATACATATTTTTATAAATTTTGATATGAAACTTATACACGTAACTGTAAAGGTAAGAAAAAGTTTGGAAACCTTTTACATTTGATACTAACTATTTTGATCGAATTTGCTATCAATAATATGATATGAAAGATGTGCATTAAATATAGTAAAGAACAGTTAACTTTTTGCATCGGTTTGTTACGATATTCTAACTTATTTTATAAATTCGATTTTTTATAAAATAATTATTTGTAGTCATAATTTAACCGCAACATAGTTACTATTTAAATATTATCAAGCCATTGTGATCTAGTGGTAAAAAAATTTATATGAGTTAGTGTTTGAATAAGTCAATCATATTTGTTAACAACGAGACTGCAGTCTTTATGTTAACTTATTTTAAATGTACAAGGAGATATTGATTGTTTACCAATATATTCAATAAGAATAAGTATGCAGCAAGTAGTACTGCATATCGTTTTGCATGTTTGTTTTCATAATCCATAAAAAATGAATTATTTGGTTGAAATACTTTTGATACAACATACATATTATGTGTGATCATAGTATGATTAATGATACCATGACAAGCTGTTTTTCTTAATTGAGCACAAAATCAGAATTGCGTGGATTATGAAAGTGGCTATAATCTTTAATTTTATTAAGACTTTATAATTAATGAGAATATCGATTTTTGCATTATCTTTTAGTTACAGCAAGTGCTAAAAAGTTACTCGACATCAGAAGCAATTGTTCATAATGTGCTATACAAGCTATTTATTTTCTTTCGTCATTGTCTTGAGTCTCACACCAAAGAGATTAGTGCTTTATTTATTAAAAGCTTTAGAATATTATATGTATTGCTGAAAAAACAATAATATATCGTGTAATATATTGATATTTACATCTAATGCATGATAAAGAAAATAAGCTAAAAGATAAAGGACTTGATAGACTATATATTAATGTAGCAAAGATCTGTATTCTGTATAAAATTATTGTTTTTTTTGTTAGTTTACAGAACTTGTTTGCTTGTTTGCGGAATAAATCTCCGAAGAATACAAACTACATATACATATGTTTGAACAGAGCATTTACGAATACAGTTCTTAGCTTTACTTAGTTTGTTGTGTACCCGAAAAAAAATTGACAATATATCGAGCTTAAACATTATAAGGAATTAATATAGTGCCATTTCTAATTATGTAATTGATTACTCTTTATTTAGGGACCAATGTATCATCATGTATCTAAATTGAAACAATTTTTCTTTTTTTTTATACTCTTACGTATAATATATTACATCACTTATATATATATAATATATATACACAAATCAATATTTATTTAATCTAACTACATCTATATTAACAAATCTTAATTATAAACAAGTGCCATTCGAAATATTAAATTCACACATGCTATACTTCTCTTACATAAGCAGGCGATAACAAATATATACATATACTATATAATGAAACCGATTTCACTGAAAAAATTTTACACAATTTTAGGTATTCTTATATTTTAATATGAACGACATATAATTACATTTCTTATATATTATTAACTAATTATCTTCTATAAAAATATGTTTTTTTTAAATCTTGTATAAAAGAAATTTTATATGGCGACATTACAAATAGCACATAATAAATTTGATGTTAGCACATTTAGGAATTTAACTTTACAAAATAACAACAATGAATTTATATTTCAGCAATTCTGCGCAGTTTGTTTTTCTTAGTCAATAATTGTTTTATCTAACGGACGTCATTTATTGCAGCCAATTAAAGTTAGTCCCTCTCATTTTTCAAGAATACCCGAAAATAGAATTAAGATAAACCTAACAATTCGATCGTTGTAAACTATAGCTCAGAGAATCAAATTATTCTTCTGTTTTTATCATTAGGATCAATACTATGAAATACTTAGAAAAATGATTAAAACAGATAAAAATTTATCAACTTTGAGCGAAGTAACTACAAATATATAATTTTTCAATTAACAGGTAATTAGGCCAAGTCGTGAAATATATAACATACAAATTCATAATAAACTTCGTCATTAATAATTAATAACATCTTAGCTAATAGTTACTACAGTAATGCCATCGATAGTAAAATAAGCACTCACATATTTTAAACTTGCCATTTAAACTTTGGTTAGAAATATCAGAAAATACGTCCCTTGAGA